CTGCTCCTACTTTCTACCCCTCATCTTTATCACCAATCCCATCTGAAGTTTCTGCTTCATCCTCCCTTCAAAATTTCTCCTTGTCATTCAGAAAATGACATTTCAGGAGAGATTCAAGAAGCCTGTTATGGTCCATTGGGCCTTGGCCTGATTTTCAATTTTCATAGGCTGGCTAAACAAATAGATTACTCAAGTGCTAAATCAAATTTCCATTCCCAAGTCTGCAGGAATTAGATCCCTAATGCAAAAATATTTTAAAGATAGGCAAAACTGCAGTTTTTTTCTTTACTGTCTGATGAACTGCTCAGTTATATTAACTGAGATTTCTGAAATAGCCTTTTCCTTAGGCGTGAACTTGTGTTTTCATTTTTAAGTGTCCAAAAGTTCCAAATCAGAGTCTGTAACTACAGAAAACATTTTCTGTCCTATCTAGAATAAAGAGACCTTTCTATATKGACATCATTTGCTAACAGTGTAGACCCTCTTCAACATGACATGGTCTAACCTCACTGCCAAAAGAAGTGATCCTGCCTTCTTTATATGCCCACTTATTCCACCCTGCATGAAGCTGGCACAAGAATATTTGTGTCTATAAACTTAACTGGATTAGGGTGCAATCTCAGCTAAGACCAAWAATTTTTAGCTATGTCAGTTCCTTTATGCAGATCACTATGCGGCCTCAGATATATCTGTGGTGAAACAACACAGAAGGCACTTAAGGGATGAGAAAAGACAGCTGGTGACAGGCGGGATAGCTGTCCTTGATGGCAGCACCTGGCATAAACCCTGTGGCATGAGCATTTCAATGGAAAYTGTATTCTCCATTGATTTGAGTTACAAAGTCCTTAAAAGTGAAAGAACTAATCTTCCTCTCTGTCCTCACCACCAGCATGACTTGTRCTATTGCTGTTTAAATAGAGAGTRCTTTTCCAGCACTATATTGTACTTCTTCAGCCAAGGATGCTAAAGATTTTTACAAGTATTGCTAAGTTTTCAAAAATCAGATGGGAAAAGCACACAGCATTACAAATATATAAATAGAGGAAACCAAATCACAGAAAAGGGGTGTACTGGACAAGCTTATACAGCAATTTTATGAGAACATATTTACAGAAGAATACCTTCCATTCTATGATTTCAATTAGAAACCATTCCTTTCTCCACAATTAGCAAGTAAGAATTATAAGRTGTAACAAAGAACAGATCTTATATTTACCTCCTTTCTGATATTTTGCTGCCTGTGAAGAGTTACATTTTGTTTCGTGGTTTATTTTTAATTAAAAATATTTTTATGAGCACTTCAAAATGTATTTTCTATTTCCACATGTATTTTATTTTAAATGGAATTCAAAAGAATCAAGTATTTTTGAAAAGTCTAACRAATTAGCCCAACTGAGAGTGAATATGTATTGAATGTGACTTTGGCATAAAATWCTTTAGAAAAAAATAATTAATTGTAAAATATTATTTCTGTTGCATATGTGTAAACTAAATGCCTTGTCTGGAAATGTTAATAGGACTTTACCTATGATTTTAAAGGGRAAAGAGTGTTACTGTTCTGTATTTTGATAAGTTCAGGCAAGAGAACATTTGTTACCTGCTAGGCAATCTTCTAATGTCTCCTTTAATCACTTCAATTTTCATTAATTAATGTATATTAAAGCAATCCAGAACCTAGGCCTAAATAYAATACTAATTCAGAAAATGAAAGGCATTCAGAACTAGATTTGAATGCTACAGAGATTTATTCTTGATTTAGCTGCCATCAGGCACTGCAGAAAACAGAGCAACAACTCATCATACTGTTTTGAGAGCTCTTGCACAGTAGGAAAAGACTCAGCAGCATAAACACACATCGGAGATGGAAAAGACTCCCACCATGTAACCCAGTCCTTTTCTTGGGGCCAATGTAAAATATGTGCTCTTCAGCAGAACTGCAAGTTATCTGTTCTGGTTATTTTTATAAGTCCCCAGACATGGAGCTGTCCCACCTTATCCCTGAGGGGCTGTTCCACAGTCCCATTCATTTGGCTGTCAGGAAAGTTTTTGCAGTCAAATGCTATCCTGCTCTCAAAACTGACTGTATAAAAGAGAACCTTGTAATTCCACATGCATATTCCCTGGGTATCAGATTTGCATCTATTTACTTCAGTGCTTCAGACATACTTGTACCTCTTCTATTCCTGTTACCTCTGCAGAGCAAATATAGTTCAGAGGCAAGGAACGAGCTTCTATTTCCCATTCTCTGTAATCAGTAGAGCTGGTCTCTCAGTCTATGTTCTTACAGTGGTGCAACTATACAGATGAAAATAAAACAGCCCAACTCTTCTTTAAGGCCATTTCAAACGGCTGGGCCTCAAGTTTATGTGACAATGTTTGTTTAAAAGAAGGACTGAAGAAGGATTTTGTAGCACTGGTACAAAGAAATAAGCAAGCACCTTTTGATTCTTAAGCTGTGCCCTGTAAATACCATTCTTTAAAATTCAAGTACTTAAATGAAAGTACACTCCAGCTCCTGAGAACTGTTTTGCCCCCACTGAACAGTCACAACACACTTTCTGCCAAATCAGTGCCGCTAACGCTGCTCCTGGCTGTTCTGCATGACGAAGCAGTTTCCATCTTTCTCTCATTACAGAAACACAACTTTTTGTTATTATGGCCTGTAACTAATACTTTTCATTCTCCTCTCCCACCTCCCCCCACCCTTTTTCATGGATGAYGGATTCAATTCAGTCAGACAAGATCTCAGACACTACACAAAGGAAATGAGCTCATCTAGCATGCCTAGTGCCTACCAATGTTTCAATGCACTCAAGGAGTTATAAATAAAATCTCAACAGGATAACAACATAGGTGCAGGAGGAAAAAAGATAGGGTGTTAAAAAAATGCTGGACTGTTTTACTGCACTGAATCAGGACAAATGCTTAGTGAGATTAAAGAAACAAAATCTGCAAGGATTTTCCTTGTGTCTGTTTCACATAACTTTCTAAAAGTAACCCCCTCCCCAAGAATTACTTACGTCTGTGGAGCTGGGGCTAGGCAGGGACACGGGCTGAACAGCTGCGGGAAAAGTAAATGTGGTCTCTGTCTTTTCATTTTCAGGGGAGTCAGGATAACTGGACAGAGGGGAGGTGGGGGTCAAAGCCCCGAACCCCAACACCGTGTTGTATTTAGGTGGACGACCTACATATTAACAACAGGGAACACAAACGAAAAAAAAAAGAAAGGAAAAATGATCTTACATACCTTTGGCCAGTGGTCCTCATTGGCTAGCGTGAAAAAGGAAATGATGCAGCACAGAGAGGAAGTTAATACAAAAGTTACCAGTGGAAAGACAGAAGCAAAGATTTAAACATTTTTAAGAAATCTTTAAGTAGAATTTTGCAAGGAAAGAACATTTAAAAGATGTGTTTCAGAAGGAAATAGAAATAAGCTCTGTAGAGGGTCAAAGAATCATTCCCACAAAAGCAGCATGGGGACAGTTGCCACTCCTAGAAATGAGGCTATTCAGTTTTTAGGGGAAACATGTTGGCATCAAAGCTCCACAGAAGCTACAATAACTACTATTAAATCCTTTCTAGTGTTATCCCACACCTCCCTATCTTTCTAGTGCCAGCATAAATCTACACAAAGGTTAAGTCCTTTATCAGAGGCCAACACTCACCACCCCGTGCTTTCCTTCCCAATTTTTTAAACCCATTAATTCACAGGTCAGCACTTTCTACCCTACTGGAACATTTTTAAATTTTTAGGCTACCTAAGAACACATCTTGCTGTCTGACCCATAACTGCCATCAGTTTTAACCTGTCACTCATCTTCTACTGTAACCCACCCCAACTTCTTTGTTCTTTTTTAGACTTTCTCTGTCAGGTATATGTGATTATACACAATTCCTAGATGCTCCTTTAGACTAGCAGATGTCCAAAATGTCCTCATAACAATTTTTRTAAAATTATGAATGCAAAGCAAGACAGCAAAAAACCTATTATGCAACCATCATTTCTGCTTTCCTTCTTCAGGGTAATTTATTGATATGTAAACATGAAGGAGTTAGGATCTAAGAATAATTCCTTAGATTTTATGTTTACAGATTGTCAGTCTATGCCTATTAGCATGCTAAACCTTGCCTTTAAGGTCTGGATATGTTCCAGAACTAAGTGTGTCCTTGGAAATGGATTTCTGGTAGCGATGTCCATGGGTGAAATTTCTGACATGYTCAGCACCATCTATAATTAAACTAAAGCTCTCAAGGGCACATACTTACAAAAGCTTTTCACTCAATATRTTGCTGTATTAAATTACAAAACAAATGTATACTTCCAAATCTTTTGTCAATTGAAAACATGTGCTACTAATTTGGTGCTGATGCAATGTAATGGCTCACAACAGAGTGTGAGGAAAAACACAGAAAGTATAACAGTCAGATGCAAAAACAGGTGAAGAGAGTATCAAGTACAAATTTTCATTGATACAGTAATTGTTCACAATAAGGTCTAAAATAAAATTAGGAAATCATTACTACAAGAAAGAACATTTACTTATCCACAGAGTAAAAGCAAAAACTCTCTATTTAAAATCTACATAATATCATTTAAAAAAAAAMCACATTTAATGTTGCTAGGGGATAGTAGTAGAAACATGTCTTTTATTTTAAAACAGCATAGCTGCAGAAGTGTCAGCTTTGCCACATTGTCTGCTGGACTGAAAACATGTATCAAGAAGAGAGCATGTCAAATTAATATTTGATCTTGCAGCCAAAAACCCCAAAAGATAATGGAACTGGTCAGTGCTACGTGGGACTGCTTTGATTTTTTTTTAATCTGATAGATTACTGTTTTTTAGACAGAAAACTTAGGAGTAGAGAAGGTATTATGAGTTCTTAAGAACTGCAGAAAATCATTAAAAACCAGGTAAAGATTGTCATATAGGTGTGGTCGATGCCATGAACAAATAATGGCATCACATTCTCTCCCATGCTGTTCTGCCTCACTATAATCTAAGTCTTAAAATTTTACCTGTTCTACAGAAGGATTTCTGCTGAATAATACTGCATACCTATATGAAAGATCATCTCTCATTTTAGGACAAGTGGCACTCTGGTTGTACTTAAAGTGCTTAGTGTGAGCAGGATAGCTTTTCTTGCTCAAGGTAAGTTCTTTTGAAGGACCCATCCCTACTCCCAGTGGAGAACAAGGCTTTTGTCACGCTAAGTTTCCTYTGCTATTCAGGGCACAAACACTTTTTCCATAACCACTTTCTTCTTGACAGTAACAATACAATCAAGTAATTAACAAGGGAATYTTGACAGCAGCTTCATACCACTAAAATGATGTTCAAATATCTTACCTTTCTAGTGAATGTCTAGCAAAGTGCAGAGGTTTTGTCTGGTTTTTTTGAGAGTGAAACTAAAATGAAACATTGAGCTGCCTAATAGAACTTGCTGTCCCTAGAACTTCTAATAGCTATCCCTATCTTCTAATCCCTAGAACTCATGGTCATTGTCTACCACGGAAATTTACTTGACAAAAGAAGAACTGTAGAGTCCTTCTTGTTTTGCTCTTCAAATCAACATGGGGACTACAAATGCAATGTAGAGGAGGAGGCACAGGGCAGGGAGACAGGTCTGGGTATACCTCACCTCTTTTGCGTGTCCCAGGATGCATTGTGCTGTTCAGGTACGTCACTGTACTCTTCTTGCGCTGCAGGGAAGAACAGAACCATTTCTGCTGGGGAACATTTTTGGCAATAACTGTATGCAGTAGATGAGGAACAACACAGTAAGTACTAAGTGTGATTACTGGATTTTGTGTTTTCTGAAGCACACCTTGAGGAAGGTTAGCTTTTTTACACTGCTTCTGACATCTGTACAGCTTCAGGCTGGTAACCAAGCTGACCAACACACATTGCCATTTGATGTCAGCTTTATACAGGAGAAGGCCAAAAAAGATGTAAGTATTAGAAGAATACCCCAATGTATTTACCGTTTAAAAATCTGAGGGTCGTGTTATTGCAGTGGCCTTTTGAACTATAAATGCTAGCTTGCTTTTCTAGTTAGAACTGAGAAAGCTTAGAAGGTAGCATCATGTCAGAAAGACAMACAACATCATAATGAAAACACCAGCTTCCCCCTGCAAAAAATTTAATACCTCAGGCTCAAAAACAGCTCCACTGTACACTGGATTTGCTGTTGTTCTTCTTTTCCTCTCTTGTCGCTTACTTTGGATTTCTTGTAAAACAAAGCATTCAGGTTAGAAAACAATGGATCTCAGAAATTATATAAAGTTCTCAGAAATCAGTTTGCATGTAAGAAGAGCTGTAAAGATTTCTGCAGAAGACCAATCATGCCTCATATAGGCAATTGTGCTATAGTTTTAACTTCTTAAGGTTTAAAAACTRAAAGCTGACAAGGAACACAAATACAGTGCTCAATAACTAATAAAATGATTGTCATMTTCTCACCAAATAGTCCACGACTAAGACATTTTAAACTCATGGTCTGTACAATTGGGATCTAAAAAAAAAGCCYTTGGTAACTTTGCTGATACTTAAAAATACAGCACAGAAATATGCAAGCCATTGAAATGATAGGCTGCCTTTCAATGCATAGGATTAGAAGTTTAAATCATAAATCAAATTATAATCCATTAACTCATTCATTACAAAWTACAGTCCCATGAAATAATGAAATAAATGAAAAATCTAGACACAGRTTACAGAAAAATTATTCACAGTGTATCTTTGCAGATACAGTGGYTGTCCAGAAGGCATTGGTATTGTCACAGATTTCTTTCCTACYATCAGAGCATACACTTTTTTTCCAGCCTCTGATGCCCATTGCTTTGTTTCAATTAATTAAATAATTGCTTTGTTTCAATTTCATAAGAGGAACAAAAAAGTAGCACAACAAACTAAGTTAGATCAAGACTACAGACATCCCAAAAGTATTATTATGCAAGAAAATACTGCATTTAATACAAGAAATATTTCTGAACCCTACTTCCAATTCAGAATGACCATGAAACCAGGACTCAAGAACCAATCTAAGACATTTTTCCTACCTTCCAGGTGGTCATGAGTAACTAGTCCCAGAGACACCATGAAGGCAAGTTTCTGTGAGGGAGGAGAAAAAATATCATGAAAAGTACAACTGTTAGGATGAGTTATGTTATTTAGGCCCTTTAAAGGCAGTTGACCAGTAACTAAGCACCAAAAATATTTTTAGTAATACTTTGCTTCTATAAATCACTTTTTGTTTATGTATGTCAAACTGCTTGAAGAAGGATAGGCAAGAGCCCCATCTGCTAGATGGGAACCTAGACTGAAATACTGGGAAATGGCAATTGCTCATGTTCAGAGCTGCCAGAGCTGGGAACAAGAGGGCAGTTTCTTTACTTCCAGTCCAGCACTGAACTGACTATAAGAAAATACCAACACAGTTCAATTGCCAGAAAAATATTTTCTCCATCTATTGTGATCTACAAGAAGCAGCTCTAGCTTACATTTACTATTTGCTAAGGGCATGAGTTTCTTAGAGGATTCTAATTTTAATGCAGGAAATGCACAGATGTAAAAATCAGAACTTTGTTGTCTAACTGGCAACAGAGCTCACACAATAGTCAATTTGAATCCACCTACAGAAATACATGTAGCAGAGCATTTAGCTGTAACTAGCTCCGAAGTTCTTCATGGTGGAAAGGCATTAAGAAACAGCCATTCTTTCCTATCTTTCACCCCAAACCAAACTGGACTAAAACACAAGCAGAATGTGAATATGCATGACTCTTTCCATTCTGCTCACCAGAGTAGAAATATTTTATAAAACAAAACAAAGACATTTCTTCAGTATTGAGAATAACTCCAGCATCTAAAACCTCAAAAGAATGGAAATCAACACTGTAATCTAAACCTCTGACTGAAGGAAGTATCACAGAGAAATKACAATCTTCTAACTTAAAAAAGACTCAGAAGCCAAATGCATTCCAGAACTGAAAAATGCAATGCACTATATGGATTTAGATTTCTTATTCTGTAGCCTTACCAGCTACTGCTGTCCAACAGGAAGAYATGGAATGTTAAAGTTAAAAAGTCTTGAGGGAACACAGGAAAAAAAAAATTTCCTGAAGGACAATGTCCTTTTTTTTCTTAAAAGAAAGCTCTGCATATTTTCTGATACCTGTGGATTTTCTTCCCGTTTTGGCTTCGGTGCAGCAGGTGGAGTAACTGTATGACTTTCTGTTTGCTTCTCTTCTGTTTCCACATGTGGTTTAATAGTCTGAAAGAAAACCGTGTTTCTCTCATTCAGGGATAAAAACTTTTTTTTCTTTGCATATTAAAGCAAAACAAATACTTTAGCACAGGAGAAAAATTTTTTAAAGTTGGCAATGTACTTACAAAGACTTAATTGAGGAATCTGATTTAAGAGAAATGTTAAATAAGGTATTTTCATTTTCCAAAGGACGAAACAGCCTTGCCACCAATCCATTACCCCACACAGCCATGCAAGACATTACAGTGATCTTAAGAGTTAGCTTTGTTACAGAAATCACCATAAGGTATGGGAATAACAGACACATCAGGAAAACTCATCCCATCAAGACTTCCACCTAGAAAACATTCTGCATGGCACATACATTCTGTTTTTCTCACTCCTCAATCTTCATATTTCATAGAATTATGAATGGCTCAAAAACTACCTCTATGAGTCCCTCAGTCTCAGATGTTTCTGAGGCTTTTTTCTTYTCTCAAGTCRCGAACCTTCTGCATGACATTGCTCAGCCTATGGCATAGATACTGAAGCTATAAACTGAGTGAGGTAAGCTACAGAGAGACAAACTCTTCCCCTTTATGATATGGAGAAACTACACAGAAAAAWATTGTGTATTATTGAMCCACCACCATTCTTCTGTTTTTCAGTAGTTGCCRGTAATTATTCAAAGAGCAAACGAGTATTGCTGACATCAAAAGGAACAGGCATCACAAGACAAATATTTTAGAAGTACAACTTCAAATTGCATGAAAGGGCACACATTGCTGAGTAACTTGTGGAACAGCCCTGAGGTATGSAAGACCTCATAAGCAGAACTGAGGATGAGCACCTTTTTCATGCACATGGTTTTTATAGTCTCTGTAAGTATTTCGAAAGCAGAAAGAAGGTAACTTCTAGGCATATTAGTCTATGAGAGAGTTGTAAGTGACACATATACTAATATTATCTATACAGATTACATAAATAATATGTGTTATAGTGTGTAATATAATATGCAATGTTACRCTATTAYCAACATGCAATATACAAAATAGTTWAAAGCGATTCAGAATATTGCTTTACTTGAACTGAATGGCGAGGACTCTCAGTTGCAATTCACACTGACTTAAGTAATTTTTATTTTACAGAAGTCTTTTCTGGAGAGAGACTTTAAAACTAAACATAYAGAATTCTCTACTTCTGAGGGTCTGCTTCCATGCATTCAATCCAATTTAAACACAGGGAACTATCAGACTTCAGAAGTTGAATGAGACTATTTTGCCTCCAATTACAAAATTGCAAAGGATCATGGAAGAAATGGCTACATTTATTCTATTAAATATCCTTCCAATTTTGCACAATTTTTGCCTTTCATATAACCACCCTTTGAAAAACGAAAGGGCTTGATTTGAAGACAGATTTCAGCTTGTCCTTATTCTCCAAGATACTAGTCRAGCCCTGCAATGCTTATGAACTACTGAAATTAAAACAGTAGGGGGAGCATAAAAACACAGAAGCAGGTGAAAAAGGTGCCAATGGCCCATATTAAAGGAAATGGTAACTTGTATCCCCAARAGCTGCATGTCATTCCATAATTTGCACTGCCATTGGAACATATATATCTCCGGTATCCACTAAAAAAATTTGCCTGGTTGTTRTCCTCTCCAAACTTACACAGTAAAGCAATAAACCCAGTATCTTGCATTAGTAGGCACTTTATCTGTACCTGTTTTTCAATGTTTGGTTTGCTGATCTGTACAGTCTGAGGTCCAGCGAGCCTGGTACCTGGTGCTGCTATCACAATGCTGGTGAGCTGTGCCATAGGGAAAGTTTTGGCTATGGTTGCTGTCTGCCCGTTAACTACACGAACTGGATGTATGGAGTTCTGAGAGTTGGGTAAAGATGTGGGTGTGAACTTTGTTGTCAACATCACAGGCCTCTGAATAAGCTGAGGAGCTGCAAGCATTGGAGGAGGTGCAGGGGCAATAGGAATGTTATTTTGGGCAACTGGTTTAGGTCGAACCTACAAAAATAAAATAAGCAGAAGAGAAAAAAAAGAGAGATTTGTATATCAGCATTTCARATTAACTTTTTACTAAGTCTTTCAATTCATCCTGTAAAAGCTGCAGGAGGTTTCTTGATTTTTTTAGATAATGTAATTTTTAGCATACAGTCCTAAGTATGTTATGAGAAAAATGCACCACATTTTCAAACCTGCTTACATAAAACCCATTCATAACATTTGCATATATAGTCATATATWTATGGCATATATAGTCACTGTCCCTGAAATGGTATTTGGATGCACAGACACTTAAACTGAATGTTTATTGCCAAATGACTTATCTGYATCTAAATTAACATCTTGGTTTTGCAAGCCAAAAAAACCAAGTAATATTTACAGGCACAGCTTAGGTGCTCATGTTAAAAATGTTTCAGGGCTTTGTACTTAACCTCCAAGAAATTATGAACAGTTAACTGTCCCCAGAAACAAGTAATTATTCTTTTCAGCAAAACCTGTTACTTTTGTCAACTCTATTTACTATTTAGATACCTGCACAATCAATCTGACTAAATAGAAAAAGTGAAAAGATTATATATTAATCCTGTATTGAAAATGCTGAAGATAAGGGTAAATGCAGTCATTTCTCTTCTTTCAAGAAAGAAAAGAGCCACAAGAATCTTCCAAAACTCCATTGCCAATACTTGCTTATTTCTTGTTTCTACTCAACAATGGACAAGAATGTCATTACAGAGTACAGAAGTAGAGCACATTACTTTAAAAACAAAGCTTTTAATTTCCTTGTTTGATTCCTATTGTCATATCCACCTTTAATACTCCATAAAGCATTTTGCCATGGAAAACCTAGGTCACATTCCAATAGATCTCACCATATTCAAATCTTAATCAGATAACAGCCTATACTTTTCATTTTGCAGAAGATTTAGACTTTTATTCATAGCACCACATGTTTATATAAATTAAGTAGTTCATTCAAGCTATTTTAGTATTTTTTTAAATAAAGAAGCAATCTGTGTCCTTCCCAAACTATAAAAAAAAAACCCGTAAACCACAAGTTTTACTACTCGGCTGAAAATAGACATTACTTTCTCTTGGAATACTTGGGAATAATCTAGAAACATCTCATTGCTCATAAGCAGCAAACAACAATTAGAGCAATTTAAGGCCTTGGGTGATGCTTTGATTTTGATGACACCTATTCCATGGGTACATTTTATCTGATGCAAACAAGATTGCATATAATCATCAAATGCAAATTTCATAACCACAAACTCATACAGGCTGGAAGGCAGCTGAGGAGGCCTCTAATTTGACCTTCTTACCAGAGCAGGGCCAACACTAAATGCAGACTGGGTGGCTCAAGGCTTTGTGCAGATAGGTCTTGTAAAACTTCAAGGACAGATTTCACAACATTTCTGGGAAGCCTCTTCCACTCCTCAAGGAGAGAACTGTTTCCTCATACGCAGTCTAAATCTTCCCTGCTCCAATTAATGACCATTGCCTCTAATTRTCCTGCCAAGCACCTATTTCCCCATCTTCTTGTTTATTTCCTTCCTGATATTAGAAGTAACACTACTGTTAGGGTGCCTCTAAAGTCTCTTCTCCGAACTGGAAAAGCCCAGATTCCTTGGTCTCTCCTTACAGGTCATATATTCCTGCCCCTCCCTCCCAGCTCTCTTAGTGGCCTTCATTCACATGCTTCATTCAAATTTATCAGCCAGGGATTTCAAAACCGTRTGGTGGTTACTGATCCAGTTTTATGATTGCTGAGGAAGGGTGGATAAGCTCTTCCCTGAATGTACTGGCTGTAGTCCCGTTGGTACAGGTTTCTTTGCTGTTACGGCACACCACTCATGCAGCTACTGTCAACCAAGACGTTTTAAGCCATGCAGCTCCTCAGCCAGTCAGCCCCCAGCCTGTACCTGTGCAGGGGATTAGTCCATTCCAGGCAAAAGACTTTGGCTTTTTTCGTGCTGAGGCTCAAGAGATTCCCATTGGTCCATTCCTTTATCCTGTCTGGAGCTCTCTGAATGTCAGCATTGCCCTAAAGATATTGACTGCACCCTCAAATTTGGCATCATCAGCAAACCTATTGCAGATGAATTGTCTTCTCCGGCACATCAGCAATAAACATTAACACAATRTTCATCAAAATTCTCTCCAATCTGTACTATAATTAAATTCCTCCCTCTATTGTTTGTTGTCTGYATACTCACCTGTGGAAGAAAATTTGGACGAGGAGTAAGTCTGGGAGGAGGGATGAACTGCGGCACTTTTATGGGCTGAGGCGTAGCCTGAACCTGCTGTAAGAACGTGAGAGAGTTCAGTAAGAGGTAAGAGGAAAATTTAGCTTTGAAGTTAGTTCACCAAAATCAACATCTGAATATATTTTCAGACCCAATGTCCTCAGTTTTCCACACTGTAAATAATTTTTCATAGCATAAGATTCCTCATTAGAAATGTATTAAAGACAGAACTAACCTTACTTTCTAGATCCTACATACCTTGCTTCATAAATTGCAGGCATATTTTCTTTTTGTAGTAACAACTGTGCTCTGCAATCTAAAACCATTCCATTTGATGATAATAAAAACTTGTGTATGTTTTAATCATTAAAAAATGGCATTCCAACAGACAGAAAATAAAAACAGACTTTTATGTCCAGCTGTGTACACTATGGTCTTTTCACAGTGAATGGCATACAGAACAATGAGAGAACATCTCATGCAAATAGTAAAGATCTGTAAATTACAACTCTTAGTAATATTAATGACACTATGAGGGGCTCKAAATACACAACTTGAAATTTTTGAAAGTATGCCATTCCTTGAAAACAATGAAGATCTGATTTTAAGGAAACCTAAGTATTTCCCTAAGTAACTGAAATCAGCTTCATAGAGCTGCCACATGATTAACCACWGAATAGCACTACCAGCTATCTGGGGATTCTCTGAAATTAATGTCAATGTTATTTTCATCCTTCTATACTTCTGTCCACCCACATAAGACTGCAATTTTCTTCAAAAAGGTCTTGTACTGATTAATTAATGCTTGGGAAAATATTCTGATATTTTTGATGAAATTTTCTACAGAAACATAAATCACAGACTAGTATTGAAACAGAATCATCTCCTCAAATCTAAGTTATTCAGCAAGGAAACGAAGCACAAACACAAAGGACAGATGAGAGTGGTGCAAGGGATGACACAGGAAAGAGAACAGTAGAAAAAACTCCACTCAAATAGTTTTCTCTATTCTGATCATAAACATGTGCCTCATTAGGAAGCAAAATTACTTCCATTTGCATTATTAAACWGCATTTTAATAAATACAGGTAAATTTGATTTATGTTTAATAAAGCCATAGTCTTTACTTCAGAAGTAAGATTTCCCTGTCATGCTGTTATATAATGCCTGATTACCAGACCAAGAAGCCTATATAATCCAATTCTGTAACACTGCTTCCTTTATTTCTAGGTGGCTAACTATTCCGGAAAAGACTGTGTGATGCAGCCAAAGCACAAAATTTGTATTTCCAAAATACATGTTTTTAAAGAAACAGCATCTGTTTATGTGTTTGAAAAAGTGCTGAGTGAAGACATAGTGGTGGGCAGACTTAAGGGATATATCCAACATCAGAGACTTTATCATGCAAAGGGAACATGAGATTGACTCAAAAAAACCCTGGGATGAAGACCAAAACTGATCAAATGAAGAAAGTCTGACATCTCCTTTACCTAAGAAAACCATAGGAATTCTGCAAAATTCAGCCACACAGATCCAGTAAGGGCAATACAATCACTATTGCCCCATGCCTACAGTTACTATCAGGGGAAACTTTACAAAGAGGTGATGACAGCAGTGATTTAAATCTATAAAGCAAAACAGTAATAACAACCCACATGCAGAGAAAATGGTTTTCTTGTAAACTATCATTTTAACGATGTCAGCTAGTGAAGACTCACAACAYGTCCCTACTGTCATTCTTTCTTGTATGAGACCCTGACTTTATTTTTTTCCAATAGCCCTCTTGTTAACCAAACCCACACATATCTGCAGGGCAAACACATGAAATGCTTACCAAAGTTACTGTGTTTTTTGTCACTATTTGGACTGCCTCAGCTCCTGGCCCAGTGACCTTATTTGTTGTCTGGAGGTTGACTGGTGCATTCTGCGCATCAGTGCTGAGGACTGCTTTCTGATTGTTGTTGATAGCAGTAACCATGGCAATGGTAGGTCTCTGACCCACAACAGAGGCAGGCATGGTCGCAGTTGCTGCTTTCAAGACGAGAGGTAGTGTCTTAGTGGTGATCATAGAAGCTGTAGTTACAGTTTTCTAAGGGAAACAGAAAACACACTGTAAGAGACAGAGACACTCTGTATCAGACAGGACGTGGGTTGGTTAGTCAGAAACAATAGACAGCATGAGAAAGAAAAGGCAGCTCYGAGCCTATCTACCTGCTGTTCAGACATGCACATTATCTTACGCCTCTGAAAACTGGATAGCTAGAAAGCACTCTCATTTAAGGCACCTGCTTGGTCTGTTTTAATCACCTGCAGCATTGCAGATAGAATCAAAACAAATTCCTGATAAAATCACAATTAAGTGTTAGTAGTGGTATATGCATTTCGGATCTTTTAGTTTCATATTACTKCCAAACATGCACTGTCAATATCAAACCTGGAAGGTGCAGGTTTATGAAACACAGCAGCAAACTAGCTTCTCACCAASTAAAACTCTTACTTTCAAATGGAAACTGTAGTTACAGTGATCCTCACAATCAGAGGAAGAGGGAGAAAACATTCATAAGTTGGTTTCTTTAAAAACAAAAATATATTTTTATTTTGGGCATCCCAATCTCAGTTTCAGCGATACATACAGTTATCTAGCACTGAACTTTCTTTCCTAAGAATAAGTTTGTCCTGAAGTTGTAAGAGCTGGCTGTCAGTCTGTCCAGTTGCAGGCAATTAGGCTTAAATTCTGTGGAACAGGCTAGTTCTGAAACATATATTTGACACCATGATTGCTCTTGGCCTGTTTTAAAGAGTGGTTTTTATCATGTAACCAGCAGCATTTATCTGAAATGCCTCAATACACCATGCCCAAAATTTCAAAGTTAAAGCAGCTATCATTTCACAGTTTTGCTTTAAAGTGTACTGTCTTCTAAGATGCTAAGGACAATCGACATTACAAATCTCATTCAAAAAGCAACAAGGTGAGAGTCTCCATATAAAACCAGAACATGATGCGAACAGAAAACTCATGACMAGTGACACTCAACAGAATGCCAAATAATCTTATTTCTTTCTCTTTGGTGTAAAAAAATCAATTGCACCAATGGCACTGCATTTTCAATACTTTATTGGCATGATCAAATGCTCTTAGTACTAAATAACCACCATTCCCTCCTGATSTCAGCTCTAGGTTCTACAGAGGAAAGAATGGAAAACCAGGAATCAGGCAGTCTTTGTGTTTTGAACATACCTGATTTAGAATATTTGACTTTAATCATACAAGACCTTTATTTTTTTTTTCTAATAAAATAATATATTTCTGGTTGGACTCTTCAGCATCTTCACCAATACTGTTCCCTTAAACAAAAGCAGTTTACCTTCACACCTCTAATTTCACAATCATTAAACTATGTCCCCTGTTAATTAAGCCCAAGTGTGAAAAAAAATCACTGTAAAATGCCAAATCAAAGGATAATTTATGCTTCAGTTTTATACATTTATGAAAAATCCAGACATAATTAAATTTTCCTTATTACAACACAATTTTCTCAACTTCTTATCTGAGATCTAAGAGCTTATCGACCTCTGCTGCACCTTCCCCAAAGCAAGAAGTTCCATTCCCATAATGCAGTAACATTATTCAAGCTTTTCCAATGAGGTGTAATGTGGTATCATTTTCACAAGCATTACGTTCAACCATAAACRTTTTAAAGAAAGGTGTAATCAATCATGTAATACAAGACTGTGACTCTTTCAAGGGGTTCTATTAACTCTGCAAGTACTCAGAGTACAGTTTCAATCAGGAGATCACAGAGCTTGAATATCCCTGTTACTTTGCTGAGCATTAATTAGATCGGTTATTCTAAAAAGTAGTCAATACATTAATTCCTACGGAAGTGGATTCATARTAARTCTGCATTATTGCACATAATATTGYAATAATATGAACTTTTAGCAGGTTTGTTGCTTATGAAAATTTTCAAAGCCTTTCTAACTGGACATATTATGTATATTAAAATGTCACTGTTAAGATRGCATATATACCTTGATTCCTAAATTTGCTTACTTTGAAAATAACCATTGAAAGCATTCTCTGTACTGTCACAGCCTTGAAAAATGTGTTATTTACAAAAGTAAGCAAGAAAAATTGTAGAGAGACAAAATATTTGACTTTCCTTTGCAAGAAAGAGCTTGAAAGACAACAAGACAGGCAAAAACTTAGAGGCAAAATGTGTGCAGAAACAAGTGAGGTTACTTCTGAATTTTASCAACATAAATAAAAATAGAAAAGCATTAAAAGCTGGCTCATTTACCCAAGGGACAGGACAACCTGGCTTCCAATTTGTAACTACTTTCCAAGTACTACTGTACCAACGGCAGCCAGAAGGGCATAGCAGCTTTTTGACTGTTTCGCTAGAGGGCTCTTTAACTTTGAACAAAACCTCAATTTTTACAACCCAGGAAATGACCTGGAAGTTAATGCATGAATGCAAAGTGTGGAATACTGAGAAACACACGAAACTGTGTTTGCTCTCATGTTTCCTGACTGAAAAAGAGAGATCACTGACACAACGATCCTTTGTTTGTCTATAAATACTTTAGAACACAGTAATATTTGYTTCTTTGTTCAATTTTAGCTTTGATATTGATGTTGCTGCTCAAAATGCATTTTCCTTAGTTAAGTTTGTTTCATTTCTTCAATATACTTTTCTCAAAAATACAATTAGCTAAGCTTCACAAATGCATGTTAGAGTGCATCCCAACCAACTTTCTCAATTAACAGGAGAACTAACAGCCCAACCATTTCTCTCTTCTCTTTTCACCAAAAGGGAAGATGAGAATCACAACTGGTCAAAGCTGTGGGTGTGATTCACTGCAACATGCATAATGCAAACTTCGTGGGTGAATTCTGCCATCTGCCTATGCAGGTAAACATGTGCTCCTAAGATTGCATCAATAGGAAAAAAAATACTTTACATGCACTTCTTTTTACAGAACGCCTCCCTGCATTTTCTAGGTGTCTTATTAGCACACTTTTGTGATTCTAAATATCTAAACAGGAAAAACTTGAAGTTTCCCACTTAAGCAAATAACTTTCTCTGTTAAATTCTGGGATTATGTCTCTAATCCTACACTGTACTGAAATTCAGTTCACCTTCCCAATAAAGACACTATTTTCTGAAACTTGAACTCTGCAATTAACACTGTACACWTTTAGACAAATCCTTGAAAATTCAGGTAAGTATTATTCTGTATGACTTCYATCTGTTAAAAAAGAACCAAACAGAAAGAAGAAGGAACTGGGTTTTTTTTTACATTTTCTTCACATTCATAGAGGGTATTTTGTTAGTCATTTAAAAATAAAGGATTTTAATCATACACCTCATACAGTGTGTGCAAAGTTTACTGTTTCTTGAGACCTACTAGGTATGGTCAGASAATCATTCATGCATCTATGGAAAAGACAGACTCATTTGCTAAACTTTCACTTATTTTTAAGAAAGGTGATACTTCTTCCCTTTTTTTCTGTGGGGTTATGATGCAACTTTTAAACAGTACAGGATATTTTAAACTCAGATTAGAGATTTTTGTCAAAAAATCCAAAAGACACATATCCACATGTGCACAGAAGAAGTTCATACTGGTACACTAGCAGGCATAAGTGAAAGTTTGCAGTTTTCTCTCTTCATTTTTCCTTTCCTAATTTTCAGCRAGCTTCACCTTCAGTAAGGAAAAGGCAGTGTTGCAGCTTTTTACCTGTGATCCTATCACGTTTGAAGAGGGTGCCGTGGATTGCTGCTGCTGTTGATGGTGATGTTGCTGTAGCTGTTGTAGTGGTTGTGGCTGTGGTGTCTGTAGTTTGTTTTCTGACTGTGCCAATGGCTGTATTTGAAACTTACTGTCTGGCTGTTCCTGCTTCACTATCAAATTCTTTCGAAGCTGTTCCACCACTCTTTTCTACCAGATAAACAAAATCATAAACAGAAATGATGACAGTTATTTAGTTGCACATACCAGAGAAAATAATACCACCTAAAGATACATTTATTTAATATAAATAAAGAACCACTCAGAGGCTTAGTGGGACTTCTCTTTTTGGAATTGTAAGTATTGGTGTTATCTAATAGGCACAGGGTAAAATTGGCCACAGAGGAGTATTACAGCCCAGCAAGGTAACCTCACTGTTCTTGCAGAAGCCCACTCACCAAAATGCAGCCTATTCACAAACCACTGCAAGACTTCCGTAATCTATATTTACACGAGACACACTAGCATTCAGATTCCACGTTTTGACCCCTTCAAACACACCAATCCTGAACAGTGGCAAAAAAGAACTTTGGGTTGAAGCATCCCAGCTGACTTCAAGGTAATAGGCATGTCATTTTGTACCAGGCATTGACACTGAGTGAGAGAAGCAATTTGGGGGCAAAGTGGGGATCAGAAAGGGCATAGATGCATGGTGCTTCTGTTCAATATTACTGCCACCTGAAAAAGAATCAGAGAGGGCTACCTACATGGGAAGAAAATAGCACAGATTTATTTCTCCCAACTTAAAGGCTTCCTATTACATTTTGGCATGCATTTAAGTTTGAAATTATTGTAAAAAGAGTTTTTTTCTCCTAGTAGCCCATTTGCATCTTTAGACAGTAACAAGATTTAAGAGCAGACCAAGTGACTTGCAGCATAAGATACATGTTACCTACATGAATAATAAGGGCTYACAATTTATGTTTGTATTATACTTGAGTGTGGACAAGAGTGGAAACACCACGGGACTTCCTTTACCTTATGCAGGCATGACCAAAACSGGATATTTTCTCCTACCCTCCAACCACCCCCAGCTCTGGACAGCTTTAAAAAGATTTAGCTATATAATCTAAGCACCCTCGATCAAGAGAATATGCACACTCCAAAGCAATTGCTATCTTTGGACAACAAGGCTGTCTTAGAAAGAGGACAGTGAAGTCAACTGACATGGGACAGGCTCAACCAAGAAAGCTCTACTGGAAACAGGAATGGTCAGGAAACCGCTACCAGAGCCAGGTGCTGACAATGGGTTGCCCCTAGAAGTTGCACTTACATGGGCAAGAAGATTAAAAGTAACACAACCATTTTGACAATACCAAATGTTTTGATTTTTTTTTTTGTTTTGAAGCATTAGTATTCAGACACAGTACAAAGCATAGAGATGGAGAAAAAAACACCAAAAAAATCCAGCTATTTACAACAAACTGGAAGAATATTTTTACTCAAATTTCATTCACAGGTGGTTATGAAATTCTGAGTTAACAAAATATCTGTTCTCTTCATTTTGTGGAGATACTGTAGTCTTAATGATTTTAAGTATCCTGCTAATGATGAGCTAAAACAGCATGATGCCTCATGCAGTGAGTATCTCTAACCCAGAAGATGATAACAAAAGGGGCAGGTTCCCAAACTGACAGATTTGAAAACTGGAACTTAAAAAAGCCAAATAAAAACCACATGCAACAAACCCTCTACCCCTGTTTCATAATGTTGAAATGTGYGGGCTCACATGACTGACCTTTTAGCGAAAGACTGAATTCAGCAACTTGAAGATACAGAAGAACTGCCTGACTTCTACAAAACCCACGTCTCTAGCTGAGGATGCAGGCACAGCTCTGACAAGAGAAATACAGGCCCAACCTCACTGGAAATTCAGGGAGTTAGTAAGGGGCAGCAGCCTGAAGGAACTATTTTATCCTGAATCCAAAGAAGTGCTAAAAGCCATCAAAGCCTAAAAGATATAAATTGTTTATTCCCTTCTGAAACAAGGATAAAATAATAGAAGTGTCAAAGGCATTTTCCTAATTCAGGTATTTCACATAGTTTTAAATATCCCGTGTCTATCAGCTCACTCGTATATGTAATAACTGAACAATAATTTAAAATTGCTTTCTGAAAAGATCAACCATGTTAGCATGCAAATCCAACTACAGCATCAGCAAGCAGATCCAAGAGCTGAAAAAACATTTCAAAAGAGTAACCCAAGGGGGAGGAGAGGAGAAGCAGCAAAGTAGGAGAGAATATAATGCAACATGCATATAGAATACCTGCCAAAAAATGGATTGCACATACACTGCACAGGAGGCTAAAGAATTACCATATCCAGCATGAACAGGGAGGGAGTTTTTATCTTCCACAGCGGCCACTATGAAATTCAGGGATAATGGTGCTCTTCTACTGATTCCCTGACTGGAGGAAATCAGCAGCAATGGCCCAAGAATGAATTTCCATCTTGTTCTTTACAATGGGAGGAACATTAGTGAAAGGATCAAAAATAGAATAAAAAAGAGAGAGGGAGAGGCAGGCTGAGGACTCCTCTGCCATGCTTCTACAGCAGGGCAAGAGCCAGGGAGGAGAGCAGGGGAGCAGGAGCGAGGTGAGTCACATGGCATTCACACACCGCCTGTTCCACCCCCAGGCCTGAACCACGGCCTGCAGAGATGGGGTAAAACAGGACCGAAGCACAGCTTGTATTAGTGCTTTGTGCAAAAACTGAGGCTCAGCATTTTTGGCACAAGATGGATAACGTGAGTGGAAAAAYGCTGTTGCTCTGGAAGTCTACGCTAGACTGTTAGAGGCTGCTGAGAGCTGCCTGGCAGCAGCATATCTTGCCATCCATATCCATTACGCAGATATTAAATTGGAAGAAACATCTAATGCTTTTAAGATTCAGAGAGTAAAACCGAAGTTTGCATTGCATGCCAATTGCTTACGCAGTTTAATAAGCTGCTTCTACCAACTGTCAGTAAAAATACCACACTGAAACTACAGAAAACATTTTACTATCTGCAAGACTGTTGGGATTATCTGTTTGTTCATAATTATCAAGAGAGAGACTCTGGACAACATATTTCAAAGTTACATAGCTGAATTAGCAAAACCAGACCAGTCTCTCAGGGTTGCACCTACACAGGAACTCGGAGCAGATCTGCTCCCATTTTCAGCACTSCCCTCTGTGTTCCCCTGTGCACGGCCTCAGCCCATGCCGCTGGTCTGGCACCGCACGCAGCGCACGGCTCTCCAGCATCCTGCTGGAAGTGCTGCTCTRCAGCCTCACAAGCGCCTGGCACGTGTCTGTCTGCAGCAGCCTTAGCGGAGCCTCCTTCTGTAGGGAATTAAACAGGAGGGTGCCATGAAAGAAACTCTTGTTTACTGTCAGACTTCATTAACACTGTATTTTAAAACTGTTCCTTCGTTATTTGACTGTTCTTAATCAATTTTAAAGACAGSTTGTGCAGTAGAAAGTACAATCCTGTGTGACTGAGATTTGTCAGGGCTGATATCAATCCTAGCTACATGTCTTAGAGACTGAATGCCAGTGAGATTCAGGTAGTTCTAAAAGTACCATAGAATTCTTAAGAAATATTCCTAATTCTTTAAATGTAATCATTGCCATTTTCCCTTCTGCCTCTTATTTAAGAATACGTAATTTAATTCTTACTGACAACTTCAACATTTTAAATTAATCATAAACACATCATCATACACACAATGTAAGTTTTCTGCATGTCAGAAAGCTCTAGTTCTCCTCATATTCTGAGATTAGATTTCTTTTCCTGCCATAATATGAACGTATGAAAAGCATTTGTCCTTCAAGTTTACTGAACCTTCCTAAAAACCGAATGCCAATCCTCTCTTTACATCCACAATGTGAAAGCGTTTATAATAATCTCCCCATTTCTTCTGAACTGTATTCTACCCAAAAAAAAGAAAAAAAAAAAAAAGAAGTGGTAGCCCTGTGCAATGGTTACTATCAGACTACTCCCAAACCCATTTGTCGCACGGTGCCCCGTAAGCACACTACATCATCTCAGAGCTCTTGCTGTCTTGACATCTTTATCACTAATCTCATCAGGAACCATTCACACCGCTGAGTTCAGAGCCCCAGACATCTTATATGACCCTTCCCTAAAGTTAATAATTGCAATCAATATTGTGACATTTTGCTATACCACTTTCTCATTCATGCCACAGGCCAGCATTAGAAGCATTCTAACACAGCATTAGAAGATTATTTTGGTTTGATTAAGCAGAAAATAGATCTTCTTGGCCATATATCTGTGTCAAAAGACATCTCTGCGCTCATATAAAAACYACCATGAATATGTTGTTATAGGATAAGCAAAGTCCTTGGAGCAAACTTAAAACTTAGTAAGGCTTAAGGTTTTTATCCTTATTAGCTAAGCATAATTTCCATTTTAATCAGTCAATCAAGAAAAAAGTAGTTCTCTGAGTACATCCGTCTTTTAAATACTAGATCCCTTGTTGTATTTGGTGATACATTTCCCTCTTCATCCAGGAAATATTCAGAAAAACATCCATATCTAAAGGAAGGTCTGTTTTAAAACAAAAAAAATAAATAAAAATGTATTTTAAAAATGAGAGAGATAACTAGCATATTAAACAACCTTGCAATGCATACCACTCTGTATCACAAAACCAAAGCTGATGAYGTTTGAACTGCTCAGCTGCCTGCCAGTGACACGTTTTCCTGCTCTGCCAGACTCAGGAAGTCAGCTACTATGGATCCTCTGTTACCTATGACTTCCAATGACCAAGATGTTCTCTGGGATCTAAAAGCTGCCCCCTACTACCACAAGTGAAACAGTTAAGAGGAAGTACTGATTTCAAGTAAGCTTCAGCTTGGAAGTGGGAAGGATGGAGGGCGTTTCACTGCTCTGCAATCTTCCTTCCCAGCCTCCTTTCTCTCTTTGYCAGACCCATGCCCTGTCACTACCCAAAGAGAAAGATATCAAAATCTCCACGGCAGAAAGAAGCTAAAAGATTTTAGAGATCTGGTACAATTACACTTTAACCTGCAAAGAGGTTACATGTTGAGAAACAGGACACATTTTGAGAATGGAATTTGGGAGAGGAAAGATTACAAACAAGGAGAATAATTGTTCACTCATCTACTGCTTTAAGATGGT